CCCTTCCCCACGTTTTACGCCCCGCGATCGCGTTACCGCTGCGGCTTATCAGCCCCAAATCATCCCCCTTAATTGTCCGGAATGGCAGGTTCGGCCCGGGTCCCATTGTCCTTGATGGGTAGTCCCCTCTGGCGTGGGTTGGTTCCCTTGGGTTCCTCCCGTCACGTGCAAAACCCGAGGCTTCTGGATTGCGCGGTGATCTCGTTCCGCTGCCCGCGGCCCCGCTCATTGTTGGCGCGCGCCGCTTATCAGTGTAAAGTTAAAGCTTCCGCTGCGGTTTTCCCGTTTGGCCAGGTGCAGGTGGCCATTAATCAACTGCGCTTTCAGTTCCTCTTTTCTTGGCTAGCAGCCGGTAGCGAAGTTAGCGCGGTGCGGTGGCAAGCTTTCCTTGAGCGCCGTGCTGGCCGAACCTGACATTGTAAGCTTCTGCTCATGATGTCAGTCAGGCCGCCCAGCCACCTTGCTTTCTGTTGCCTCCTTATTCTGTTGCCTTCAGTTTTTCCAAGCCAAGATCTGCTCCGGAGGCTCTTCCTTCTGCATTATGTGTCCACAGTTCTCGATTCACGTTAGTCCGGTACTGAAGGATTTGTTCTGGCTCTCCGAGATATTCTCAACAACTTTCTCTGGTGCCACAGTTCAAAGGCATCTATTTCTTTCTATGCAGGTTTTCTGCTGGTCTAGGTTGAGAGTCATGTGTTACAATTGGGAAGAGCATGACCTTGGCAACATGTACCTTTGTGGTCAGTGTGATGTCTTTCTACTTCAATGTTTTATCTAGATCTGCTATAGCCTTTCTCCCAAGAAGCAGACATCTCTACTTCATACAGTCACCCTCCTTGCGGATTTTTGAGCCCCGGAAGAGAAATCTGTCCCTGCTTCCATTACGTCTTCACCTCGCTGCATTAAGTTAACACTAACGGGTGACATAATCTTAATTTTAATATTGAGCATCAAGCTTGCTTTTGCACTCCTGCCTCCAGCCCCCAAAGTGGTATCATTGGCGTTTCTGAGGCTGTTAATGTTTCTTCCAGCAATTTTAATTCCAATTTGTTTTTCTTCTAACCAGCATTTTTCATGATCTTTTCAGCATACAAATTAATAAGGTGTGAAATGGAAGACTTGAGCGAGGGAGATACTGGAATGGGGGTTCAAGGTTATCAGGAGGGAGGGAAGACATTCCAGAACAAGCACCTCCCCAGCCCACAGCAATGCGTGGGAATAGAAAGAGGAGGAGGCTGGCCCCTCCCCAGGGTCTCAGGGGGGTTATCCACTAGTTGCTTTAGCGTAGGTTGAGTCTGGCGAGATGCTGTCTGTTAGGTGCGAGCTAATAAAGGAAGTGTGTTGTGGCTGGTGTGGGTCTTCTGGGCTGTGTGGCCGTGTTCTGGAAGTTTTGTTTCCTAACGTTTCCCCCGCGCCTGTGGCCCGCCCCTTCACAGCGGCGGAACGAAACGAGGGGGAG